ATATGCAGCCATTACATTTATTAGACACATCTTTACAATAAGTTGTTAAGGAGACGCATGGATTTATATTAAATCATGCAGATGAGTGACACGATAAATCATTAAAACAAACTAGCATCTCCACAGACATGCTTGCATTTGCAGTCAAAAGGGCTTCCCCTCTTTCAGAGCCTGTGCCAAGCCCACTGCAGTGGAGAAGGCTGACTTCTGTGTGTTTTGGCTCTAACCTGTGGTAGGACTGCGCTCCTCTCTCTTGTTTCCACACTACTGGATCTTCTTGACTGGCTCCCTTAAATGCTACGAAGTAATCAACAGTAACACTATAGCTAAGAGCTAATATATGAATGCTACAGGCGATATAACATGCTCCTCAATGTTAAAACATCTTTAAAAATTGCCCTACCATTTCTCCATTTTCCTCAAGGGATCCCTTGCAAGATCTCCAACTTTACTTTCGGAAGTCTCTTCAACTTTGCTCTGATTTTATAAAATGCCTAGCACAAAATAAGGAGATTCTCAAGCCTGGATCTTCTCCCCCTGGTATAAGCAGGAGAAAAAGGAGGTTCTCCGTGTTCATTAAGTTATGTATTTGCACAGGTTCGATTTCAGTGGGAGGTAAAGACGGAGAATGTTAGAACAGAATTAGCCACTCTTCCATGGAAGATTATTTTTGTATATTTTGTGAGAAGAATAAAATGTTGGATATACAGGTGTTTTGAGTAGTAATAATGTTGATCAAACAATACACAATAATGACCTTGCTAAATAATGACTTGTTTTTAATTCAGGAAGAACTCATATTTACTGCATGTCACCATTTGTTTTGCTGTGATGAATGTCAAACTTCGGACATTCATGAGCAAAGCTAGCAAAAGAAGCAACAATAATTTGGTTGGGTATTTATTTTAGAAAACAGAAAATTCCTGATAATTTTAGCTCTTTCCCCTTAGGACTGCCAGCAACAAAAACCTTTTTCTTGTCTCTGTATACATCAGAGTGTTTAAAATCATAGTCCAGATTTCACATAGCGGGGAAACTGCCATCTTTAATATCGTTCTTAAATTTTGTGTGCACACATATGCATAAAAATGTTAAAAATTTGAAGACCTTACTTTGAAATAATGACTTCTCAAGTATCAGGTGTGATATAAAACATACAATTATCATAACTTGTCCTGCATTTGTTGATTTATGATTTTTATATTTTTTATTTTTTCAATACATTTTTAAAAAGGAGTTGTCTTCCACAATCTATGCCATGACTTAGTATTCACACACTGTATCCAGCACAGAGATAAAATAAGAAATAATACATATCCATTATACAAGCAGCATTTTTTTTTCTTACCATGCAGCCTCTCTAGAATTCCTTAATTGAAGCAGATAAAATTAGATTTAAAAAATGGGCATGCATACTTGCCTTCATCAAACTGCCTACATTCCATGCATAGTTATGATTAAAGCCCAACTTCAAAGGAACAAGCTTTCTTTTCTGTTTTAAATTTTTTTTTTGGAATTAGCACAAGTTATACCTGGTAGCTCAGATTTTATATTGATTTATATCTTACACCAACCATACGCCAGAGCAGAATATATATTTTAGTGCCTGTTTTTTCCTTTACTTTCCTCTGATTCCATTACAATCTTGTTCTCTTGCCACCTTCATATAAAACATATGATACTGCAGACAGCAGCAGTCACATGGAATAGGTTAAGAGGAGAAAAGACTCTACAACCAAATGTAATACATAAATCCTTCTCACTCATTCTTCAGCTGAGTATTTTGAGAAGCCATTCATATATTTATAGCTGACATCCACTTGGCTTTCAGTCAGTTTAAAGATCATGCAAATCCCCATGCTACAGTAAATCTTAATGCAGAGTTCTTCAGTGGGAAGCACAGAAAGTTTTCCTTGATTATCTTGATTTTTACATATTTTGAATGAAAATGATCATACATATGAAAAGAGAGATATTTTAGGAGAGAGATGTTTGCACATTATGAGAACATTTCCCATGCTTTATTTTTGAATCCTGATGGACTTGATTCAAACTCAGAGATACTTTACCCAACAGCTTTTCATCCAGAATTAAACCTCCACTGAAAGAGATGGGAATTTAAAAACTCCCATTTAAATTGATGGAGAATAAGGAAATTACAAGAAGGGGTTTTACGACAGCTGTTTCATAATATATTTTTATAGTGAGAAAAACAAAAGCTCACAGACAGATAGATAATTAATAGATAGGTTAATTAATAGGTATTTGGGTATATCAGTAGCTCAATAACTTCAAACTCCTAAGTCTTTACTGGTTTTTAAGCACAGTTTTTTGATGGAAATAAAAGAGGCAAGCTGAAGACTGTGTGTCCATTGGCATGCCTATCAATGAAAGGAAAGAACAGTGTTCTTGCAAGTTTGAAAGGTTTCATAGTCTTTCAATGACCACGGCACAGGAAACAACTAAAAGAGACCCCCAGCTACACAGGGGTCTTGGTCTCACACTTTTATATTAGGCGAGTCAGTTATACCTATATTTTGACATAAATCAGTCTAACCTTCAAAAGCAACACACTGTCACTCATGAGGAGAAGTGGTATCACCAGATGGTACAACAACCTCAAGCTGGCAAGTGTCAGTTACTGGTACTCACGCTTGTGTGTGAGAAGTGGCATCATGCACAGTATGTAACCACAGCCCACTGTGCCAGCTTCTGCCAGGAGAGGTGTTTGCTCCTTTTCCAGCACATGCTGGGTCTTTCCTACGTGACAGGTCACTATGGCTCCCCATAGAGAAATCCCCAAACCATAGCAGAATCCTCGTGTGGTTTCCAGCAGGTTTGTACGTTTTGTCAGGTAAAGAGAAGCATGCCAAGTTCAGCCCCACCCTCATCCCTTAGCAATTTACACTTCTCCTTGGCTTCTGTAACCAAAGAGCAAATGCAATTGCTCGTGCAAAAGCAACACAGTGCAGACGCAGCAGCAGGCAACTGTGCAGGGGGGAGTGATAAAGGGTCAGTGATAAACACAGGGCACGGCCACAAGCCAGGTTGGGCACAAGCCACTCCCGTACCCACTCTGCAGGGAATGCATGTGCGTACAAAGTGCTCAGACCATGCTCCCCCCATCCTCCAGCCACCCTGTCAGCAGTGACAGACTGGGACTGCTGGGACTATTGCTCCCTGCCACTTTGCCAGCTGCTCATATTAGACCTGATACACCAAAGTTTGTAGCCATGACTTCCAGTACTCACACTCTGCATTACAGAGGTTTTGCAGGCTCCAAAACTTCCACTGTACACTGATCCATCTGGTGGATTGGAACTGTTTTCCAGTTCTTCACTGACATAAAAATTGAAGGACAACTATATCCTTCTAAGCAAATAGGAAACTCTACTTGGTTTTGTGGAGAAGAGCTAATGGTAGGCTACAGCCCACAAATTTTGTTGCTACATTGCTTTGTTGTGTTTGTGTGATCCTGCCCAGCATCTTAAGGCCATAATGCTTTAATAGTGGGCTTGAGACAGCTGCAGCCAACTTCCTTTCTTAATTGTTGTGCTGGAGTTATCTCAAAATACTTTTCAGCTGTAAGTTGTGTCATAGCATGGAAACATTTGAAAACTGCAGATTTAATAAAACCACACACCACTAGCCAAAAACAGAAGAATCTAATTTGGGAATGATGTTAAAATGTGTGGTGTGATGTCTAAAGTGTTACACCAAGACTTTTGAAAAAGGCAAATCTTACAGTTACTTATTTTATCTCTTTTCAAACAATAATCAAAAGCACTATAGAAAAATCCCCAATTTTTCATTTTATGGTCAATGTCAATCAAATTAATCATTTGAATGGTGCATTCAGTAACATTCTACTGTTTCTTAGGGAAAACTATAGAATCACAGCACCAAAATTTCATAAAGAAAAAGGGGGGTTAAGAGGCAATTTTCACAGAAGATCTTTTACATTAAAGTGCCTAACTCACTTGCTGTTATACATCTAGAACTGCACAGCGAAAGCAGAGGAGAAACAGCAGAATTTCATCTCCCGGCCCGGGTGTCCTCCTGGCTGGTTATCAGAAAGTGTCACCAAGAAAAGCTCCTTGGGAGCTTCCGCTGGTACAGACCCACTGCTCTACAAAACAGGCCAGCCCATGAGACTGCCACCACGCTGGCTGCTCACTTCCTGTGTGCTCTGGTTGTGCTGCAGATCACCCCCTCACTTCTCTCAGGGTTTATATGACTTGCCCCTCACTGTACAAGACATTACTTCCCTAACATCCCTGGCACTAGCAGTTGTTACCAGCAATGTGACTTTAGCACCAGTCTCTCCATTTTGAGGCCTGATGCTCTTCTGCTATGAGATGACTTCACACTGCTTTGGCACAGTAAAATTACCTTAAAATGGGATTAAATTACAGTAACTTACAGCCATGTTGCTCTGCTGATGGCCTATGAATCTTGCTATACATGAAAATCAAATCCATTTTTAAATTTAATTCTTTACTCTGGAATTTAGTAAGTACAGATTACTTATAAAAACACTGATTCTCTGTAACTACAAACCTACAGATTTTCCTGGCTTGCAGCACCCAGTCTGAGGAATGTAAAACTTGGTATTATGCCTCACTAAGACCTATTCTCTAACTTTAGCAGGAAGCAAGTGCATATGTGGCTTTTTGACCTTGCAGTTACTGCCCAAATCTCAAACACAGTATTCACATGAAGTCTGTACCCACTTTCTCTCGTAGAACTGACTCCATTTGTATGATAGATCTTCAGACTATATCAGAAAAACTATATCAAATCCCATTCTAAAGTCAAGTAAGTATACACATATGGTTCTTCCTACTGGAAAACCACGAACACACCACACTGACATAAATGGTGGGGTTGAAAATGTGGAATATGAAACAGCACAATCCCACCTTATTCCAACAGCAACAGACACCAAAATTTGCTGACAGCTATGACTGTTAACAACTAAGTTATCTCATTTACCCTACCTTTTCCTTCTGCAAGTATCTTATTCAGGATAAATCCCACGATAAAGCTGACTCCTGCCAGATGCCACAGTTCAACTCCTGCCCCATCCAAAGGTGGAAACACAGCTGAAATGAGAAGTTAGAAAATCTTAAATCCACACTCAGATTTTTTGCAGGGACTTGTGTCAGAGAGATGGTTCAAGCCTCAATGTGCTTTATCCTCATTCACCTTTCAGATTAACTGCATCTCATTGGCAATGTGACAAGACTATTCCATCACACTAGAGCATCAGAAGATGCAGGGTTTGTGAGGAGAATCTGGAAATGGGTGTGCACAGATGTGCACACATGCACATACACACATACTGTTCTGTAAGGGGACTCCACACCCTGAGCATGCCACAGCTGGATCAGAAAGCAGAGAAGAAGCCATGGGAGTGACCTGAACACAGAGTTATAGACGTGGCCATTTAGATGGAAATCCTCCATCTCAGAAGGTGGCACAGGCATTTGTTAGACCCAGCAGGGCCAGGCAGCTGCTGGAGCCAGAGCCAACCACAGATATGCTGTCAAATTAAAAATACTTTGAATCTCCCTCCACTCCTAAGAACGTGTTTCTCAAATTCTCACAATAAAATCTTCATTTAAATTTGTTTGGGAATATTTAAGATGAAGCAGAACAGTTTCCTCAGAAGCATGATGTACTTCACAAATGGGGAAGAAAACTATCATTTGAAATATTGCAGATTTATACATGTCTATCACTCCTGTGTTCATAGTTCATACAACAGAAAAGAGCGTCAGAATCAAATCCACCATCTTGAGAGTAACTCCCATTTTTTCTTTTTTATTATATCAGTTAACATGGAGGAAACTTTTCACACCCCTTTTTCTACTTTATATAAGGCCTTTTTACGCTGAGGTGGGAAAAAACTCTGGAACACATGAAAATACAGAAAATGCAAGATGTAGGTCAGTGCGTAATTGTATATCTCAACACCAAGCATTTAACAGATGGTATTTAGCAGAAAAGTAAAACTGATTATGCGAACCAATTTCACAAACTTATTAATAAAAGTAATTAACAAAAATAAACCAAAATATATTGAATTTGGTTCTGAATACTCCTAGGGAAAAAAAATTGCAATGAACTCACCAGAGGCAGGAAGCTGAAAGAGGCTGTTGAAAATGAACGTTAAAGAAGTCAACTATCCTAGACGAGATAAAGGAAGAAAAAAAGAAGAGTGGTGTTCTGTGTTCCTGGCTTTTTCAGATAGACTTCTTTTTTAGCAAATTAGAACAATTATATAATTGAGAAGACAAAAAAATCCAAAAGCTCTAAAGGTAACCAGAGACACCTGTGCTTACAGGCCAAGTAGTCCAGGCAACTGGGTCTAGTTCATCTGGAGGCAGCAGTCACAGCAGAGCCAGATGCAGAGTGACGAGAAGGAGTGGAGAGGTTTAGCGTAAGTCAGCTTTCTGGGGAGAGCTTCACAGCTCTGCCTCTGTGGGTTTGTTGTGGGTTGCTATATCTTTCTGTCTTTGGTGACTATGGGAGCAGATGTAAAAACCTTGTAGATGGGGGAGGGAGGCAAACCCTCCAGGCTGCAGAAAGCTTTCTCTTTGTACTCTGCTGCTCCTGCAGCTGCCTCCTCCCTGCTACAGGGGCTAATGTCACAGCCCAGCCCAGCAGCTCAATACGTGTGAGGAGAAAAGGAGCAGATCAACAACTGCCCAGCATGGCTATGTGCAATTCACACTCCAGTAGCAGAATGGCATTTGGGATTTTTCTGCAACCTGGAATATGGCCCTGCCTGGAATATGGCCCTGCCTTTACAGAGGAGAGTGTGCATGTTTAATTAACTAACTTTGTGCAAAACCCAAGGCAGGCACTTTGGGCTGATTCAACATTGGTGTGCATGGTTCTATTGTAATTCAGTGAGGATGCCTCTGAAGTTCTGGTCAGGATTGATCAGTAGTATCATTTTATCAGCATATATGTCCTCTATTCTACCAGCAAAAGGAGGCTGAGCAGGTGAAGGCACCACAGACATTGAGACTCCCACCTTTCCCAGCACAGACAAATTGAGCTGGGCAGATCCGCATCACTTTCAGCTACCACAACAACTACACAACACTGAAAGCAAAACTGATGGTAGTTTCAGGATTTCAGGTGTCTATGGTCTACACTTTAGGATCCATCAGCACAAGAGGTTGCCCACTTTGATCAGGCAATAAGACTGCAGGGAGGGCACTCCTGTCCTATTCTCCTGAAGCAGCCCAGGTGCACTGGCACAGCAGGAGAGCTGCCCCTGCGCTGAAGGCGAAGGGCCCGGGTGACCAGCGCAGAGGAACGTCTGGGCCTCAGGCAGAGGGACAAGCACTGGCTTCCCAAGCAGCCTTGAAACCCAGAGGCACAGAAGTGGAAAGCAAGCCCTTTTCAGCAAGTATTTTGGGCTCAGTGAAATTATCTCTAACCATGAAACAGACTGCCTGATCCAGATCTAACGCCATGCATTTTATGTTCATTGCAGGATGGAAACTTTCTAAAGACAGCTAATGAATCGGTCCACATTAACATTATGACAGTACAATGCATTCCAAGATAAAGTCATACTGCTTCTAAGAAAGATTAAAAACCAACAGAATAGTTTACAAGATAAAGCAAAACGGAAACAAAAAGAGAATTTATGTGTAGATGAAAGGCAGTTTGTGCCAAAAAATAAAAAGAATATAGCCTATGTAAACATGCTTAGGCTGGAGAATCAATTTGTTTCTTTTCCCTGCAAAATGAAATTAATTCAGTCAATTATCAACAGTGATGAAGTTAAGGAAGGCTCACAGAAGGTATTTTAAGAATCCTATCTTCTTAAAATTTTCAATCTTCCTTTTAGTTTGAGACAAGATTTTGAATAAGGGGCTTCAGCGCTTCACCAGTTTATGTGAGAACTTGTGTTTCCTCATTTTCACATTAAACATCTATTCATCTGTTTTTAACTAGGTTTGGGTTTCCCAATAGCAGCCTAAGCAATCAGGCAGTAAGTTTCCATTGCAACTGTGATAAAGCAAATCGGACACGCTAACTGTTAAACTGAATATTTCTGTTTCCATCAGAAATATTCAGAATTGTCAGAAGTAGAGAAATCAATACTATTTGCAAATTATACTGATATAAATGTCTTTGGTGATCATCACCAATTTTAGGTCTGCTACAGAGAGCAGATACTTAAAAATGCAACTACTCTTCTCTATTTTGTGCTGAGATTAATCCAGATGTGAAGCCATCTGGCTAAGTAGTTTGCATTTTGGAAAGAGTGCATCCATCTGTAAAATACTTCATAAACAACTTTTGAACTGAGTGAATTCAGCTAAAAAAAAAACTGTAGAGTAAGAGACACGTTCTAACATGTCTTGATTTCCACCCATTTCCCTCCACTACATTTCCTGAACTACCTTGACCCAATAACTTCCCAAAAATAGTTGAATTTTATTTATTTGAGACCTTTCTCAGTAATACACATGCTTCATGCATTTGATCCATTATTTAACTTCTAAGAGACCTGGAACTCCAACAAAAGAGCCTCAGCTCCATGCACATGTAGGTAATTCCAAAGTTAGATGCAAAATTGACACCTGACCTGTTTCTCTTGATCCTTGGTTGGTTGTTGGATTGGCTTTTGGGAGTCTTTTTGTCTTTCTTACCACAGTGTTTTGGCTCCTTTACACCTCTTCATGATGTGCAATGAAGGGGAACATCTGGCTGTGAGAGAATAGTGAATACATTAAAAAATACATTGCTTCTCCTTTTTAAAAAACTCATTATGAGTCATTATCTGTGACTTTCAGAAACAAACATCTTGTTGCAGAAAATATTTATAGGGGCGGAGCAAAGGCTTGCAATTTATTCTTGCATTGAGAAGTAGGCTGACAGCAAAAATAAAGTCTCAAACCACAAGTAACTAAGGGTTTATAAGAAGTTATGTAAAATAACATTACCCAGGGTCTTGACATGGGTCAGTCTACAAGAAAAGTCACATTTCTTCTTAATCCACTGCTTTTTGTTCCTCTTGGAGAAAAAAGAAAGCTGCTGGTGTTAAGAAGGGGGTTGAGATTAAGGAAGAACGCTGCTCCTGTCCCCCCTGCCTGTGTTCCTTTTAGTTCTCAGATTCACTCAGCTCAGATTTTGGTCTGCATGGATATGTGGTAAGCGCAATGCTCAGGAAGTAAACCATGACACTCTTTAACCCTACAAGCCTTTCTCCTGTCCCAGATGATCATTAAATTAAACAAAAGAGAGCTAATTGTTGCTTATGTCTAGCCACTGCAACAGACATATAAACAAAACACAAGAAGAAATACACTTATTTTGTGAAAAAAGAGCCTAATTCTTTTTTGGTATCATTTTCAAAGGGAGGCAGGAAAAATATATGTGGTCAAGATGCCAGCTGTGTGTTAGGAAAACTGGGATGTGCCTATTTGCTTTCCCCTGAGTTCCTGGGCAGTACAGGGGGAAATCAGTTCCTGGCAGTTCCAGGGGAAATCAGGTAGGTCACCCAGACACATTTCAGCCTGGGGGTGAAGTCATTCCCTTCCCAGGAGCACACATCTCAGCACAAGGGAGGCTTCCTCACGGCATGGCAGAGAGCATTGCTGAGGGAGTCTCTAAAGCAGAGCAGGCACAGTGACTTCCACATAACGCATTGCGAGAGCACTCAATCTGAAAGAGGAAATGAAAACGCAGTCTCACAAGCACTTCCTATGCGGATTTTGGTAAAAGTCTCACACATTATTTACTACACCTTCATGAGCTTAGGATTTGGCTTCTCAGGAATCTAACATTGTGGGTGAGATACCCCTCAGCTTTGGTAGTGAAGGGGCACAAACTGAAGCCTGATAAAATAGAACCCAAAATTGAGCATAAGGCAGGCTCCTGATACATTGTGTGGGCAGAACTAGAGGCCTTCAGAAGGCGAGTCAAAGCCCTCCAGAGAAGCCTAAATGAAGGAACATGCTTGAAATGCCACCCCCTCCCTGTGGACTCTCTTGCCTCCTTCCTGAGTTACAAAGTTCAACTTTCAACTCAACTCAGCTCCTGAGCCCCTTCCCGTGCCATTCATTGCCTCTTCCTCTTCACTGACAGGCTTGCCCTATGCTTCAGGGGCCACAGAGCAGCCCTCAGCTACTCCTGCTCTGCAGGATTTGGCCCTGAGCTTCCCAGTTTCTGGGTGCAGTGCTGAGATGGGTACAAGGCGCAAAGCAACTGAGACCTGGTCATGCCTGAGCAGCACAGACCTCTCAGGACCAAAACAGAAAACCCTGAGTTGTGCAAACAATGATCAAACTTGGGTTTGGCACTTGGGTGCAGTCATCTCCATTCATCCAGCCTCTTTTCAAGACTGATGCAACTCCTTGCATTAAACCCATACACTTCTGAGGGAAGGCAGGCAGAGATTTCCCCACTTTCTGAGACCACAGCTTTCTGCTATCTCAACTACAGAGCTATTCTTTATTACTTTCATGTTTCCCCACTGTGTAGAGGTTACTAATTAGTTATTTCTCTGGGATAGTTCTCTTGAGATCAGGTTGTCAGCAACATGGGCTATGTGACAAAACTAACATTTACATACTGAATGTTTTCTTGGAATACACAAAATCTGGTGTCCTTCCTTGCACAATTCCTCCTGTGACGTCAGCATGGAACTGGTGGGCAATATACAGGAAGATCACTTCCTCCAGAGTGACATGAAAACCTACATCCCCTTTCTTGAAAGTGAAGCGCGCTTAGGAACTGCACTGTGGGTTACTTAACTCCCCCATCTCTCATTCTGAGAAAGCTAGCATAAAAGCAGTCACATCACATAATCATAGAATAATTAAAGATTGGAATGGACTTTAAAGGTCATCCAGTCCCAGCCTCCCAGGCCATGGACAGGGACACCTCCCACTAGACCAGCTTGCCTCAGATAAGAGGATAAGACCAGCTTGCCTTATCCAACCTGGCTTTGAACAATGCCAGTCTTGGGGTGCCCAACAGCCTCCCTGGCAACCTGTTCCAGTGTCTAATAACTAATTCAATCTTCTTCCCCCATATCAGGTACTATTTCCAAAATACCCATCTGCCCTATTGAAGGAAGAAGATTCTTTCTGTGTTTGCCTGGCTGTGGTTTTTTTTGTTGGCACTCTGGGAGGACATTTGCCACCTCATGGAGCAGACGTGGAGCTTAGAGCAGACCTCTCTGACCGGCAGAAGCTGCTCCTGTCCCCCCTGCCTGATTTCCTTTTTGTTCTCAGATTTGCTCAGCTCTGATTTTGGTCTGCCTCAGAGGGTATGGTATATGCAATGCTGTGGAAGTAAATCTTGATACCAACTGTATTTAACCCTACAAGCCTTTCTCTTGTTCTAGATGATCATTATAAAAAAACCTAATTGCTGCTTATGTCTAGCACCAGAGATATAAACAACACACAAAAT